GGGGGGGGCGGGGCAAATTTGTCTTCAAAGACAAGGTAGGGAAAGAAATTATCTTACAGGGTATCGCCATATATATAAATGTGATGTTACCACGTAAAGTCTGGGTTGACTTTCAGATTAAAGAACAGCCTACCTCCTAAATGATTAAAATTTTATCATGGGAGGGAGAGATGATGGGAGAACATTTTGCTTTTATGCTAACTCCCATCCCCACATCTCGTCAGAGGAAAAATTATTGAGAAAATGGCCACCGAAGTTTGGTTACTTTCAGAGCCTGAGCGAGTCCTCAGACACTGCAAATTTACTGTAGCTTTTGCGCCTTTCATTGATTTTCAATAAAATCCCCACTGAAATGTATTTTTAAATGGTTGTTAGAAGTGTTGAGCCAAAAAAAAGCCAAATCATAAAAAGAGCGTAACAGATAGGAAAATATAATTTTATTTTTATTTAATTATTCTGACGAGTGCCTGATTTTCACTCCAATGCCACACATACAATTTCAGGTGATATATTACTCCACTAGTATATTCGGCTCTGCTGGACTGTCGAAAGCCACATCACAATTAGCCACTGTAGGGACAGGTGCGGTGAATGTGTCCATGACCTTCATATCCGCCCTCATCATGGACCGAGTCGGACGCCGAACCTTGCACATGATAGGCCTGGCCGGCATGTGCATTTTCTCCGTTGTGTTGGTCGTCTGTTTGAATCTGCAGGTAATAGTGACACCAATGAATGGTGAAATTAATTGTTTTAAGTGGGTTTTTTAAAATACTTTCTGAATATTTATGCCCCGTAAGTTGTCTTGTGACGAATTGATTCAAACTTAAGTTTATTTTCATCTGAGAGGAAATTCTGGTTGTTGTCTTGTTTATTTTTAATCTGTCATCTTAATGAATTAATAATCTTATCAGACTTGTTCTCCTTCACCTCTGCACAGAAGGTCAAAGATGGGGACAACCTGAGTTCATTAAAGTGATACTGTCATTGATAAGCCATTCACCTTGAGAGTATCAGTATGTTGAATATAGTAGTAAAATCTGTCCTTGGGTTTGATCAGAAATAGGTTATCGCAAAGGAATGTAGCTCGATACCTGTACTTCAAGTGTTGTAGTAATTGAGACGAGATAATAGAAATCCGGCCAGCCTGTTGTGCAAGTCAACAAAAATCTGATGCGTTTTTTACTTGGGAAAAGTACTTGGTGCTGTAGAACTCCTTGTCTTGGTTAAGGTTATGGCCAATGTGGCTTAGCTCTTTGTTGCCAACGGGGGTAAACCCACTATGCCACGGCCCTTTTTTGGTACAAAATCTTAAAGTGGCAAACACGTCACTAAATGGGTCATTAAATCAAAACAAGTGAACTTATTTTGATAGTTCTTCGTCTAATGATTGAAATCTCAGGGTAGAAGAGAGCAGTTTTCGGCAATTGCTGAAAAGTAATTTGATGTCAAATTATTTAGGAAAAAATGTAGTGGCTCGTCGGAACAGCGATTCTGACCACAAGCCGCTGGGAGCGGCTTGCTGGAGATAAGGAGTTAAACTGACTTCTTATGAAGGAGGCAGCAGCTGCATACTAAAATCCTATCCTTCCTTTAAGTTAAGGCCTCACTGGGCTAGTCACAGAGCTTTGAATACTTCTCACTGATTAAAAGACCAATGATATGTGATGTGTGCACAACCTGTATCTTTTCATTATGGAAACCCTAGGTGACAAATGAGTGTTTTATACGATGTGATGTGGGTCAATGGTCTTAAACACTGAATAAACGTATTTTCTCACTGATGTAAAGGAAATCTTGTGGGAGTCTTGCAGGGATTGAACGTGGCTCCTCTAGGTTATCAGATGAATAATGACATAGTCTCAGAAACACTCGGACTTCTCCTCCTTCTCCTCCCCCTCCACCTCCCCCTCTCCCATCCCCTCCCGTCTCTCCTATTATCTCCGCCCCCAACTTTCTTCACATTATATGGCTGCTTTGAGTGTAAATGAGCAACCTTTCTGTTTTCCCATCAGTCCTCAGTGTCATGGCTCTCCTACATCAGTATCGTCGCTGTCATCATCTACATCGTTTTCTTCGCCACAGGACCAGGTAAAAACCTTTGCCATAATGTGCATTCCTGTTAAGAAATGAGTCATTCTTTTTTCTCCAAAAAGCGTATTGTTTTCAAAAAGTGTCTCCAGGAAAAACACAAGAACTCGTCAAAGACAGGGACTGTATCAAGGAATTACAACGGATGAGAGAAAGAAAAAGATGTTCAAAGAATTTTTTGGAAATAATAAGGGGCTTGAAAACATTTTTCATGAAACCAGTTACAATGTTAGAGCATAAAGCCACCAAAATAGTTATAAGTGTTTGTTCTACCTTCTGTCTCAAGGTTCAATCCCATGGTTCATGGTGGCCGAACTGTTTGCTCAAGGTCCCAGGTCTGCGGCAGTCAGCATATCCACTCTCGTCAACTGGTTCTGCAATTTTACTGTCGGGATTACCTACCCTTTACTTGAAGTAAGTTTTTTTTTATCTATTGGTACTAATAACTTGTGGGCGATTGGAGGGTGCCACTGGTGGGTGCTACTGGTGTAGTTCCTGTCAGTGCGTCTTTCTGTATAGATTTTTTGTGTGCTCTAAATGGCCGTGTTGTTGTGTTAATGTTCTTCTCCTTTATTGTACAAACAAACTAATAATTTTCTTTATGTTCCCCAAATATTTTTGCATTACTCATGTATCTATCCTTTAAGTATGGAGTGGCACATTTGCACGGTCACACCTTTGAACCGCGAGTGGTTTGAGGCCGTTAGTGGTAGTTCCTACTTCTTTACTGTCCTTCTAATGTTTGCATGTCTTTCTTAATTTTTCCACAAACAAAATGACCCCTATTATTGTGTTGTGTGGTTTTTTCTTTACTTAAAAAAATGCTTATCGCTATTGGAGCATGTTTCATTGAGTAAAAATTCAGATTAAATACTAGGGTTAATCCTGTGGTGCGATATACCGTAAGCGATCTTTTGTGGACATCTCTGGAAACTACAGGTCAATCTTCATGATTTTTTCACCAGAAGTTATAAAGACTTCCTCTCTATACAGTGTAGCGCATTACTGTAACAGCAGTTTAAAATTCCAATATGTTGTGGTGGTGTTTGTTTGGTAACGTGTGTCTAGTTGATGCGCAAGGTGTCTGTTTGGTGCAACATATATATTGTCTGGTTGAGTGCGCAATAGTACCATGTTTACAGCTCTAGATCTAGATCTAGCTCTTTTCTCACACTTTTCATCTTTCTCTATCCTGGCCTTGTCTTCTTTTCCTTGCAAGAAGTTCCTGTACTGACCGTGACGGAAGGCCAAGGTCAATGAGGCGTGTTCTTTTTGGGAGCTGTGCACCCCCTAACAGGAGATTTCCTTACACCATGTTTATGTGTTTTGATAATGGATAAAAAGAAAGGTGCTGTGGACACAAGAAGGTGAAAGAAGAAAACAAGAATTAGACTATACCTAGACTAGTATTTTTAAAGGAAAATGACAAAAAAGAAGAAGAAAAAGACGTGAAGAGAAGAAATTGAAAAAGAAAGGTGCTGTGGACACAAGGAGGTGAAAGAAGGAAACAAGAATTAGACTATACCTAGACTAGTATTCTTAAAGGAAAAGGACAAAAAAGAAGAAGAAAAAGACATGAAAAGAAGAAATTGAACATTTGGAGATTAAATTTCCATATGAATTAATGTTGACATGAATACATTAACTGATCATCTTCCAATGGCAATATAATGCATCCAAACGGAAGGAAAACAGTCTGTTTCAGTGCACAATGCAGGTCATAAAGAAATAACTTAATAAGTAAAACAACCAAAGGGCCTAGAAGCCACACTATCAATGCCAAATAGCAAAAAAGCTGATATTGCGCACTGAAACGGACTGCACAAATTTGGTCTGCTTCAGTGCGCAACCCTAACTGGCATGTTTCTGGGCATTAAGAAGCAGCTTGCGATAGTATTTATCGATTCTAGTATACATTCTACGATACATTAGAGCTAGATTAACTAGATGTGCAAAATAATCGACTACTCAAGCGCTTAGTAAATTCACCGATACCGGTTACGAAAACCATCAATATGAAGGGGCAAAACTTTCTGACACTATAGAACCACATGTGTTGACAGGAACCTCCAAAACGAAAGTGAAATAAGCTGCATTCTGCGCATGCTCACAGAAAGTGACCTCGTTTTCGCTTTTCTTATCCAAAACAAAGCAGGAGACTGGGGGTTGCGCACCCAAACAGCAACGCGGTGACGCTGTGAGACTCTAGAGAAACTAGAATGGAAACCTCGTTTAAAAGTTTGAGACCTGCCATCTAAGCTTTTTCTCTTCTACCTTCTTCCGGGAATATCCCGGAAAAAATGTTTTCTCTCCAGTGCTTTATGAAGCAAAGCTCTGTTTAGAAGTTTACTCCATAGAAAAATTGACAGGCATCTGTGTAGATTCTTCAGTGTTGCACGCAAAAGAAATGAGTTTGATTTCTAAGTTGGAAGTTTTCTTTTACACTAAGTATCTCTGTATGTCTATCGGGGTGTTGTAGTATACAGTTAAGCCAGGGTTGGCCCCGACATGCAGGATCGAGTCAACCACCTCGCAAATGGTCTGAATTGTGTTGATGAGGATTTAAAACATTACAATAACAATTGCAATAAAGTTGCAAGTCACTCGTCATCATTATGTCACAAATGCTGGGTGTTTGGCGGGTGCTCTGGTTTGGTTTTCTACTTCTTTCCTATAAAAAATCTATTGTCCTTATCTCTCTTCCTTCATTATGTTTGTTACTCTCTTGTAACGTCTGTAATCTTCAGCACTTATATGACTTGTGTTGGAAGTGCTGTAAAATACTTACTAAAACAAAAAAGGTCACAATGGTTCAGACTAAGGTTGATTTTGATATGGTATTAATTTTAATGCTCAAAACATTAAATTCCTTGAATGTGGTTTACAACTTTTTAGATTGACTTACAAGAGGTTTTTTTTTTGTTTGTTTAATCTGCAGAAAGCCATCGAGAGCTATTCCTTCCTACCCTTTTCTGTGATGTTGGCACTTTTCTTCATCTTCACTTTCCTCTTTGTGCCAGAGACAAAGGGGAAAACAATTGCTGAAATTACAATGATCTTCAAAGACCCTTCCTCAGCGAGCTCAGCTGTGTTTTCGTCGTCTGATGTAGAGTACGAACATTTAGAGAGAGAGGACAGCAGGACTGATGCCAGCGATGGTCAGCGAGGGATGAAGTCTTTGGATGAGGGGGGTGCAGTTCAAGATGCAGAAGGTAGCGATGATGAGTTACTTGAAGATCATTCTGTACAGTTTCATTAAACACACCAGCAGACCTGCCAAATAGCCTCATAAAATGGAAGCTCTGTGATAAAAAAAAAATTTTTGTTGAAGAATCCTGCTCGGATTTGCATATATTCAATTTTTTTTCTTGAATTCCGTTTGTGTTGAGTCATATTCAAATTACCGTAAATGACTGAAATATATACGTTTTTGTCTATATTATTTACAATATTTGCGCGACTTACAGCAAATGATGTGGAAACACATTTTATTTTGTATTTATTTGCAGCGTACGTATATTTTATTCATTTGCCATATTTAATTTGTTATTTAGTCTTATTGCACTTGGATTCTGGAGACTGTCTCTCTCCCCCCCCCCCCCCAACCCCTAAACTTCAGGGGTTATTTTGGGAGGATTCTGAGGAAAAACTTGTATATTTAGTCATGTGGTGGTTGGCAGGTCTGCATAAGTGTGTGTTTGAGTTTGTTGAGTGAGACAATTGTATACATCAGCATGTCGATATTATTGAGTGAGAACGTTGAATGCATCAGTATGGGTAAGTTTGTTGTGTGAGTCTTTGGCATATATCGGTATACATGTTCAGTGAGACAAGTAAACACTTCAGTACATATATCTAAGATTGTTGAGTGGGGTATGTTGTGCCTTCTTTTGCAGCTTTCTTACTGGAGTCAGCTGACATCTCTTTACAGCTTGTAATGATTCACAAATATAGCACTATATTTTCTTATGAAACAGAGTTCTCTCTTAGAGTTATGTTTTGATCAGCAGATTTTTATCAACGCTAAACAGTTTGCAATGGATATGCTATCAGTTTGGCTGTATTTATTGATTTTCAATACTAACGGGGAAATGTGTACTTCAGATATTGCTTATTTGTCAATATGTAAAGAGCAGCACCTTTTAATGGACAGTATTTGCTAATGATTAGTGTCAGTATTGGCCAAGTGAGCCAAGTCTAATGTTAAAGTAAGTATACCGCTTTAGGTGTCATAAGGGACTTGATTGGTCTTACTTGTTTTTTAACAATCTAACGTTTGGTTTTGCTGAAAACCAAGGAGCTGCAAACCTAAGACATCCCCAGGAAAATATTCTTCAGTTGCTCTCAGCTGTGAAATTGTTTTTATTTGCTCCAACAGGATTTTTGCTTTTCTCATATTGGCATATAATTTTTTCTTTAGTGGTAAGCTTTCCGTCATCTATGGTGTAATGGTAAGGTTGCACACTGTTGCGTGCTGAAGATTTGAGTTTGATCCCAAGATGGGAAGTAATTTCATTGAGGATCTGTGTCTGATACATGTGACAGACATGGTCTGAATTGTCTTTGTTGTGTCTATGGGGACACCAATCTAGGGTTAGTAGGTTTTTTTCCGCTTATGTTGGCAAATAAATATGAAGTATTCAGAGTTTCAGACTTATGCTGCTGAATAGTACTACTCTTTACCCCATATCGTCAATGCGCAAGCAAAATGGCAACTAAAATGTGACTAGCCTTTTAATTTGTTTAATGTTAGGGAGGCATTGCGCTGCCAAGAGCGAAATGCTCGCAGCTAAAGGGATTTGAAAACAATAATAATAATAATAGATAGCATTTGTATAGCGCATATCCCCGCTCAACAGCAGGCTCTATGCGCAACAACAACAACATTTTGTTTAGTGGTACTAAATCTATCTTTTGGTAAAATGAAAATGTAAATGGGCTGGCAGTCACAAAAGAAACATGCGTGGCAAGTATTTCCATTATTAGATAATAAATAGTCTAGTTAAACTGTTTTTTCTCTTTATCTCAAAAGAAGCAAAAATGAGATAACCCATTTTGCTGGCGCAGTGATGATATTTCCATCCACCCCTGTGTACTGTTTGGTAATTTCAAGAAATGCTTGTTCTACTGTCTTTCCATTTCAGAGGCAAAGTGACATACTGGTACTGGTAAAAAGTCATAAACTATTTTAAAGAACTTGTTTTTAATATTGGCAAAGTATGTCTATAAAACCACATAACTGCCCTTTGCCACAAATAATAATGTTCTTTTGACTGATGACATAATTTTATATGCTGATGAACTTTGTTTTCTTTTCACACCATATAGATATTCTTGTCTCCTGTGAAATAACTTGGAGTAGCTGCAGTGCCATATCTCGCTCTTTATAACTGGTCGCTTTTAAGCACAAGAGGGCTATCCCAAAAAATGCTGTTTTGAGAAAATCGAAGGTAAAGTTTTTGCTCATTGTTCAGTTTCCTTAAAAGACAAGAAGAGTTTTCTCTATAACCAAACAAATATACACACCAATGAAACCGAACTTCTTCTATAGGTAGGCCAATGCCCACTTTTGGTGTAGGTGAAGATTTCTGGAAACCCCCTGAATCTGGGTTAGCCGGCTTGTCCTTAGAAGCGACCAACTGTTTTCTTCTAACTCATAAATGTCTTGTGCTGCATTAACAAATTGTACACTTGGTTCTTTTGTCTTTCCGTCATTCTTTTCCAGCTCTGAAAACACAGAATTACAAAGTTGCTTTTCATTACCCTCAGCTTTTGACTTTCGCAAGCTCTAAACTATAAATGTTCAGATCAAAGTTGTGTCTATGAACCAGGAAACCTCTACTCTCAACGCTGATGAAATACAACACCTTGTTTGAACTACTAGAACTAGATTTTACCCCATACATTTTGCTTTGGTAAAAAAAAACTGTCCTGGGCTGAAAGTGTGACTTCAGGCATTTGTAGTAATTTGGTAGTAATATGAGTAGGCCTATTTACACCCTCATCTACTCTATTTCGATCATGCCAGTAGCTGAAAACAGCATTCAAGTCTTTGTGACATCTTTAAATGACAGCAATATCACAGAAATGGGCATTTTCTTCTCGTTCTGTAATTTTTATCCATATTTCTTTTTTTTGTCTCAACACCCTGTATGTCCATTTAAAAACATATTTATATATTATTATGTACATTTTACACTTAAATATTGATCAAAAGAACAAAAATGTAAGTTTGGAGTTTCCAAGTATGCTCAAGCTTTTGAAGTCACAAATTTTTGGTGGCCATCGTATCGCTAAATTTAGTTGCAAGCACCGTAAAACCCTATACTAAACTAAAACTTTCGCTAAATTTATCTCTAAAGCCAGGCGACCCTCACCTTCTTCAGTCGCTTGTAGCTATCCCTCACAGCTAGAGTTAGAAACAATGAGTAGTATTTCTTGGTAGGACTTCCATTTTCTTGAAATGCCATTGTATTCACGATGCAATAACGTTAAATAACTAATACTTGTGTCATAAAATCCTGTGCATGCGGTTTGCTTATTTTGTATTTTGTTTTATCTGTTTAAAAGCATGATCCTTTCTAATTCATAAAGGCATATCTTTTTGATAATTCCATAACTTTGATACTAATACCTTGGTGCTATATATGGTTCAATGTTTGACTTTCGAAAAAATTTGTTTAGACTATGTGGAACAGAAACAAAAAGAAACTTCCTTGATCCTTGTCTTTTACAACAGGTATTGGACAGAAATTATATAAAATATTGTTTAGTTCAATTAGAATGTGTGCTATATCTTTGTTATCTTTATTAAAGTGTATAATGATACACTGTGGTATATCGTGTCTTTGTGCACTCATCTAGATTAAGTCCAGACTATTTCTTACTGTTATCAGTCCATACTAATACTTTGTACAACACGACGTCTACCTCTTCATCACATTCCATGTATCTCTTTATCATGTTTTGTCGACTGTTGCATCTTGTTCTGTTTTTGTCTTTGTCACATTCCTTTTTTCTCTTTATCATATTCCATCTATGGATGTCTTTTCCTGTGTTTTTCTGTCTCTCTACGTAGCTCAAGAAAAAAATGTAATGTCCCTTTGCATTGTAGATATTTTATATTATATTTCTGATGCATTTAGTTTTATTGTCACCTTTGCGCAAAATCAGCAACAAAATAAAAATTACAAACAAAATAAAAGCCAACAACAACAACAAAAACTACAACAACAATGCGGCCACTTTCGATTGGGAACCTCAGATGGGAATGCTTTGTTTTCTTCATCTTGATCAGTCCTGCCTAAGAGGGCCACCTGTCTTATACGGCCACTTTTCTCCTTGACAATGGGTAGCTGTCTTACTCTGGTTTGACTATATTTATATATAATACTTATGCAGAGCAAATTTGCAGGTATTTTGAGACATCAGCTGGTAGGTGTTTTCTCTTCCTCTTTAGTTTGTGACTGAGTGTGTTTTGTTCTTTTTCCTGTATGAAATTACCATTATTGGGTCTATGTTCTTTTCCTTCCTTGAACTAGTAAGTGGTTGGCAGGTGCTCTGGTGTGGTTTGCTCCTACTTTCCTTTAAAAAATCTATCATCTCTATCTCCCCTCCTTCTTTTTTGTGTTTTTTACTCTCTTGTAACACCTCTAATCTTCTACACTTATATGATCTTATTGTGTTGCAAGTGCCGTAAAACTCATACTAAAACTAATTTGAAACTGAACTTCATACTCAAATTTTTTAGAAGAAACTTTCAGCCACCAATATTTTTTACATTACGTGCATTTAATTTTGACAAGCCTTTTCAGACCTGTCAGTGGACGGCACTGGTAGATCCTACCTCTTTTCTTTCCAAAGCTGTTTTTGTTTTTCTTACTTTTTCCATGCATTGAATAATTGATACAGAGTGATGGTGTGATCCTCTTATTTTCAAACAAACAAGCAAGCATTGTGAGCATGAACGAAAGGTAGGCTATTTCTCTGCAAATACTGTATTCTTAACTGCTAAAGGAAATCATTATCAATGTAGATGTAGTTGTAACTCTGCTTTTTTTTTTTCCAAAATTCTGTCCCATAATGGTGATTTCGATTGCGTCCATGCAGTTGTAAAAGGCTTACATTAATTTTTTTTAAATGGTTAATTCGTCTTGATTTAGTTCAACAGGATTCAGAATTAGATGGGTCTTTTAGGGGGGGGGGAGGGGGGTTGGTTGCATTTCTCACAATAAGAATATAAAAAATTTTCAATAATATGGCAATATCTTAAGAGAGTTGTGTACCGTGTGTTTCTAATTCATTCTTTCAGATATTTTATACTTGAAGTTATTTATTTTTTTAAATCCAAATAGTTTTCCTGCTTTCTCCACATCCAGTTTTTCTGTTTTGCTCACTACCAGTATTTTTGTCATGGTCTGTCTCGTGATGAAAATTGACAGTTATCATACCAAATAGCTGAAAACTACCTCTAACATAGTCCAGTTCGGGTTTAGTCAAAATAGTAGTTGTATAGATTGTTCAACGCAAATGCAGTCGCCACAATGTGTTTTTGTCTAAATTGCATTTCTGAATGTATAATGACAGTTTTATACTTTTTGAAATCGTTTTCATAATGTATTGTTTGTAAATATATATGCGACATTTCTCAGAAAAAGAAAGAATAATCTTGTTGTATTTTAATCTGTTTTCCAGTGTTTAAAATTATGCTTCATCTTTTATTCATTTGTTTTGTTCTTGAAGTTGCTCCTCTTAAGTGTGATTTAGTTTCGTCAAACTCTACAACCCTCATACTCAAAAACCTTTGAATTGATTATTTCTTTTTTAAGCGATACTCAAATACAATCTTGTTACGATGGCTTTTCAAGTCAAGTAACTTTTTAAAAGTGAATCTCTATTGAGTTGTGGAATTCATGAAATTTAGTGCTTGCTAAAAGAATTCTTTTCAACCGTTCATTTAACTTTGAGATATTGGATGCTCTGTTGATAACTTGTTGTGCTGTGACGCGGATAACCCCCGTTTAAATCCCTAATTTAACAATGACGAGTTTGGTTTGTTTAGAGAGCTTCTAGGGCTCTTCACCCTCTTGGATCAGTTGTCTCAGAGATGGAGGATGGGGGCCCTGCCACTCCTCTAATAACTTACCAGTGTTAAAAGGGACATTAAAGACATCAAACTATAATGATGTACGAGAATGTTATGATTTGAAGAGATGTGAAAAATCTGTCTTATTTCTGTCTCTTTCCTTTTTTTTTCTCATGTATTTGACTGCAGAGTGATTAGTTTTAATATAGATGGAAGCACATGGAGCTTGCTGTTGAGCAGGAATTTTCACTATACAAATGATATGTATCATTGTTATATACTTAGGATGTGTATGTTTGTTGTTTATATGCATGTTTGTGAATGGATGCTTTGTTTTCATTTATCTTTCCTCTCTTTTTCCGTGTTGCTGTAGTCTTGTAGTCTGCCTGGTAAGTGGTGTCCATTACAGTTATGTTCTTTGACTTATATGCCAAAGACTCTACGAGTTACAGGGTTCTTTATTGCTGCTATAGCAAGGGAGGGAGAGAATTAGAATTTATGTACCGTACTACAAGTTTTTTACAAGTACAAGAAATATTTATGGGACTGAGGTGCAAAATCCACTACACGCATTTTAGCACTTTTGAGACCATCGGCTTTTTTAATTGCTGCTATGCGCACGAATATGCATATATACAGATTTTTTTCGATAGTTTTTATGCAGTATGTGTTGGGTTTTGGCTGAAACACTTTGTGCATCTGGTAGCCGGTAACAATGTGTATTTATAAGGAAAAAAAAATCGATTTTGTCCCAAAATGTTGCTTAGCAGGTTTTGCATCTCACCCCCTCATTCGTTACTTGTGTTATTCACGAATAAAAAGAATTTCTTAATGTACATTTTAAAATATTTTTCACTATTTCCCTCTTTACTACGCCAAAGAGCAATGTATTAATGTATGTTTGTAAAAAAGAGATAGCCTATGACATGAATATTATAATATTTTATTTTTGAATAAGTTAATGGGCTCTGTCTGAACAATGATTTATTTATCTAATTTTATAATCTGGGTTAATTTCTTATTCTCATGTGCCTGACTGATTTTACTTATTTCGGTTTCTTTTACAATGAGAAATACTCAGTGTCTCATATGATGTGACAGGCTACTGTCAGAATAAAGTGGGCATCATGTTCATCGTGTATTTGATTTCAGTTCCATTGTCAGATCCGCTAACAGAATTGGAGTTGGACCTTGGTTTAATAAATTTTGTACAACAGCAAACAAGAGTGTTATCTATAATTAATTGTTATTGTTTTATGTGAGACCAACATCAGTGGCACAGAGTAGACGAAACAGCGTCTGTGATGTATCGGTTTGGCTCTCCTTTGTTGCACACATGAGACCCGAGTTCAATTCCTGAGAATG